CTATCTATCTATCTATCTATCTATCTATCTATCTATCTATCTATCTAATAGTTTATTGTAACAATATGTATAATTGCTTTCTCACAGAAAGTCCTTCAACAACTTTATCATTTCATAATGAATATTGAATCAGGAGTTATAAGCCTTGAGTCAAATATAAATTCTGGGGTTAGAATCATTGACTTCTTTGGTCTTCTTTTACTTAGATCAGAGTAAATCTAACCATTTTATATTTAAAATCTTGTCATGTATGTGTTCTTGTGCTAACAGGACATTTTAAGTGACTTTTTCTAATTGAGCCTCTATACTTGTGATTGTAATTTGCAAACATAAAAGAAAATTGTGATGATAACCAAGACACTACAGTCATTTGGAATTTCTTTTTAATTAAATCGTGTTAGAAATTATGTTCCATTTGCAAATTTCTCACTTTCAGCCAAATCATAACCTCTAAAAAAAACTGATGAAAGAATACATATGAAATTAAACTGATAGATTATACTTATGAAATACTCCTTTCAGTCCTCAGTCTGATGAGTCTTATCAATTATCAAGGTATCTATATGAAAACAATAATGTAATAAAGTCTGGCCTGCTATATATCACCACCTCAAACCTAGTTTATAATTTAGAAATGAGCCACTTCTTCCATCCCTGAGCGTCTAACTGGTTAGTTTTTAAATCTAGTCAGGATAACGAGTTCCTTTGGATGCACTAACTGTCTCTTTCCAAGCAGCTGTTTGCGTTTGTTGACTTTTAGAAACTAGCAAGGAACCTGCAGGTTCCTTTCATTTCTGGCTTTTCTTAACCTCGGATTTTTGTCTTTTCGTCTCTCTCTGTAATATTACCTGACGGTCGCCATTCCTCCACCATATACAATCTGATCTGTGTGCAGTCTGTCGGACAAACTGAATTGAACTGCGACAAATAAACGGCCAGATGCAACTTGAAGAATGGGGAAATACTAGAAACATACCGATCCTGACGGTACATAGTCTTCCATTAGTAAACGGTTGTTGCTTTTCTCAGAGCGTTTCACACACTTCGTCTGTACTTACAACTTAGATGCCAGCACAAGATATATAAAGCAAAATTTACTTACCTAGATTTTTTGATGAGCTGGAAATATTCTTCGCATTAGACTTAAATAAATTCCCATAAATGAAAGAAGCTTCTGGTTGCTACACAATATTTCCATGCTGATCATGTGAGTGTTTTTGTGTTTTATTGATTCTATCTGTGTCCTCTGTCTCTCACTTTTTTGTCACTCACTTTTTAAATGAGGACTTCATCCAACTGCTATCTGGAGCAATATTTTGAGCTACTCAGAGCATCGTGTTTGAAATATGCATAAGTGATTTTTAAAAAGAATTTATCGCATGGATTTGACTTTTAAAAAAACTGGACATCTCAGTTTTTTAATTGATCTTCTCGCCTTCAGCTTAATTTAAATATTTTGTAAGTGAAGAAAAAGGAATAAGATTGTATTTGGGCTGATGATGACAGATAACTGACTGATTTTTTTTTCCCTTTTCTTGTTGGTGATTCTATCAGGATGTCATTGAATGAATGACTAATACACACAAATGACTGTGTGTAATACACATATGCAAACAGGTTTTTTAGTCCAGAGCCAGTTTTATCGATAAGACAACAAAGACTACAGCAGAGGAAATAAATTAGTAAGTTGTGTTTTATGACTGCCTAGCTGCTACTACCTTTATCATAGGTCACTTTATGTGTCAAAGGAGGTAAAGGTGGTTACTGTAATTTGAAATAATAGACACCAGGTTACAAGGACAAGCTCAGCCTCAAGCTCTGAACCACTGACTGACTAAATAAGGAGGAGGAGGCTCCCTACCCACCAGCCCACTCTTTCCTCCTTTCTCTGCCTTTGGCGAGGGAGTGAATTCCAGCAAGGAGCGAAGCATGCTGCTCATGTATACTAAAACTCCACTGATCATGCATTATAGATGCAGAGGGAGAAAATGCCGAAGCATAGCCACCCAAAGGTTTTCAGCATGCACCACTAACAACGGCGTCTTTGATCACAAGGCTGATGGTGCTTTCCCCCTGATCCCGCTGCCTAAGTGATATTGTTTCAAATTCAGAAACAGCGAGAGGTGGAATCATTTTTAGGACAGAAGTACTCCAACGTTGTCTGCCAGAGGTTGCTGCAGAGTCAGCAGCTACTCATTGAACTTGACTCATTGCTGTTGTCTCCTCATTTTGATTCTCTGGGTTCCGCTACATCTTGTAAAAGGAAATTAACTTAATACAAAGAATAAGCATGTAAGTGTTTCACTGGAGCTTATTTGGTTTTCCCACTGATGTGGAAATTCCCTTGAAATTGCTGGCTCTTTCCTCCTCCTTCTCCCTATATTCTCACCAGAAGACCCTCAAAGTCTTGCAGGCTTTTCTCAGTTCGCTCAGGTGCTGCCATTTGTCAACAGCTCCCACACCGGCATGGTGACTGATCAAAACAGACACCGAAACGCGTCAGAAAGGTGTCATCACCCAGAGCCAGCTAGAAAAAAGTGATCTATTTCATACTAAGTTGAAATAAAAAAAGAATGCATGCATGACTGGCACGACTGCAGCTCGCTGCCACTAACGATTACTGACTACAGTCTTCCTGTTTGGCAGTCGGAGCCCAAAGCGCTCTAATTACAACTGTTACCAATGCTGCCTTCACTGCCCACGTGATTCTCACCCATCCAGTCCTGGTAATCCTATAACTTAAGTAAAGGCAGCTGGACTTCTTGGATCTTTAGGGCGTTTCTCCTCTCGTCCTAAAGGGTTCCTCAGTTCTGACCTACATGTTGGGAGCTATTAGCTTATAAGCAAGACAGGGTGGTTACTGTCTGAACCCCCTGACCAGAGCCATTCAGAGTCCTCCTCACCTGCAGTTTGTCCAGATGTTTGAAAGGTGCCTCCTAGTATGAATGGCTTTTAAACTGCCTGGGGAGGAGGGACGAGGCTGCAATGGCAGAGCTGGAAGGTGATACCTGATGCCCTTGTTTGAAATCATTTTTCCAGTTGACATTGATGGCTCCCTCTTTTTCTCCTCTCACGTTTTTTCTTCTTTTCTTCTCTGACAGTTTTTTTGGGTCTGGATATCATAGCTGATTTGACAAACATCAAGTTAGGGTAGCCACTTTCGAGTGTTGATCCTCTTTCTGTGTTCATTCGATCTTAATCGGTAAACTCTCAGTTCACCCAAAAATTTAAAAGCAGGTACCAGTCTGTGTATGCAAGTTTTAATCTCCTGTGTGAGGAGGTTTCTGTCCTCTTCAGTGTTCACTGTACAATCCAAAACAGGCGGCCTGTGGTTCCCTGCATCCTCATTCATGACTTGATGTAGTAAATGTACATCGCTAAGACCTTCACCTCTTGAATTTGAGTCTCGTCCACATGTCCGAACCTGTTCTCTCATCCTTTGCAAATATATATTTTTACTGGCATAGTGGGGATAGTTGAACTCTTTCAGTGTGTCGTCAGTATGCTCCTGTCCCCCAGGACCGAATTTTAAACAAACATTTTAATTTGGGTAACATGTGAAGCATAGTCATCATCATCATAGTAGGTGTTCTATATTAAATGCAGGCAAAATGTGGAAAATATTCATTTCATATAGTTTTTTTTATATATTCACATTTGATCTTAATCCAAGTTACAAGAAATGAATACTTCCTGATTTTTATTTAATATACCTTGATCTACACCTGTTTGCTCTTTACCAATTGTGATCCTTTCTACTATTAACAGGCTATCTGCTGCACTTTGGTGAACTGTAGCTGTGATAACTTCAAACCTGGGAAGCTGAAGAGGAGGCAGTGTGAAAACTGCAAGCATGGATGGGTCGCACATGGTAAGAACTCAATTGAAAGGTTACTTTTAGAATGAAAAAAAGATGGTGTATTTTATATTTGTATTATCGTCCTATAGATCACATCCCACAAATTTCCCAGTTTAGTCTTGTCTCCTTTTTATTAGGCTTTATAAGCATGCTAAGCATAATTCAACCCTGTTAAATTGAACCATAAATGTGATCAATTCTGCATTCATAAATTGTACATGTGTTCTTCTTAATTTTCTATACTTTTTTAGTCTAATCCAGTAAAAATCTGACTAATTCTTTTCAGCCTTGAGCAAACTGAAGGTGCACCAAATGTACCAGAGCAGCCAGGTGGAGATTGTGCACTCCAATGTGGTGTTCGATATCTGCAGTCTGATGTTGTATGGAACACAAGCCATACCTATCCGCCTCAAGATTCTCCTGGACCGCCTTTTCTCCGTCCTCAAGCAGGAGGAAGTCATCCAAATCCTTAACGCTCTTGACTGGACACTGCAGGACTACATACGGGGATATGTGCTTCAGGTGGGCATTCAGAAGAAAGATTCTTTCCACTTCCGTGCTCTTTAAGATCACAATGTGCTGTATTTTTACCCCTCATCCTGTGTGTTTTTGAAAAAATCATTTAAAGAATGGCTGTGAGTAAAATCTCTCATTTCTCATGGTATGGATAGAACTTGTAGAGGACTGTCTTGTGAGTTCGTCATTTTTTTATGCCTTATATTAAGATTTGGAACCTAAAAACAGTGGATTACTGTACACCCAATGCACTGTGAAAAGCAGTGGAGGTCAATGTTCACTACTCGATAAATTATGTAGTACAGTGCAGGAAAGATAGCTTTCAATCAACTTAGTATTAAAAAAATGTAATTACACTCATGAACATGCATACCATTATTTACTCTATGAAATATGTCTGTTTCATTAAATATGAGACACAACCGTGTCCTTAGAAAGGGACCAAAAGTACTTCTGAGAAAGATGAAGGATGAGAAGGAAGCAGACAAGAAGTCAGTAGACTGGGGTTAAATATAATTGGTGTACAAGACTGACATGTAGCCATCAAAGCCATTACTCTTGAAAGTCCCTTTTTCCTGTGGTACCATCTCTTCAAGGAGGTCTCAACACCACACAGGGTAGATTTGTAAATATTATGTATTTTGCTCCAGATTTCGACTAAAGTCATTGCCAAGTCAACCGAAGCCAGGCTGCAGGCACTGTTCCAGCTCAAGATCTGCCTTCAATTACTACATAATCAAGTATTTAAATGAGTCTACGTTTAATTCATGTTAGCTCATCTAATGGTGAATGCAGAGTCAAATCGTCAGCAGATACCAATGGATGCTCTGTGATGAAATATTAATCACACTTATGGCACAACGCCGCTTCTTACTTTCAAAGACCTGCAAACTCACTTGTGATTACTGCTGGGCTGAGGCAGATGACCCACTTCATCAATGTGATGTGCTTTCTGATCACCCCCGAGTTATTACATGAACATAAAGTAAGCTGTGGCCAGCAAATAGTGGATGTCTGCAAAGATGCACTCAAACATGTCTTCATTGTACAAGCGTAAGGTCTCAACCAGTGTATGGATAACAATGGTCTGTGACATTCAAGAGTTTGTCCACACACTGAGGGTTTCAGGCCTCCTCGCTGCCCACTTGACTTTCTCTAGTTGCCCTGACTACCCTATTTCTAAAGTGTGTCATAAAACCCACTCAATATATCTTTGAGAAATCCAACCTGTACTTTTAACGCTGACGATTACATCTTCTCCCTCCCTTTGTTTTACGTATTTCTTAATTTTTTTATTTTTTCTCTTGCGTTAATTTTCCTTTTTCACTGTTTACAGGATGTAGCTGGAAAGGTGCTGGACCGGTGGGCCATAATGACATTCGAAGAGGAGATTGCCACGCTGCAGCAGTTCTTGCGTTTTGGTGAAACTAAATCCATAGTGGAACTCATGGCTTTGCAGGACAAAGAGGGACAGGCGGTGTTGGTTCCCAGCACCCGCACCAGCTCAGACATCCGCACCTTCATCGAGCGCAACACTCCCCGCGCTGCCGCCAACCTCTCAGCGTCCAAAGCTGAAAAGATGAGCAGCAGTAGCATGCACCACTTTGAGAACTTTATCAACAGTATGGCCTTCATGCTTCCATTTCAGCTCTTAGGCTCTGTGCCAACGCCAATTCTTGGATCATCAACGGGGCCCTTGCAACAGGGGCACCAGCAGCATCCCCAGCAGCCATGTGGCGTTTCAGCGGAGCACCAGAAACAAGAAGATATGGGGAGGAAGAGTCTACGGAGGGACAACCCCCTTCCCCTTTCAAATCTTTCAGAGAGCAACCTGCTAAGTTGTAGCTCCATCTCGTTCACGGCTGATTTAGTCCGCAGTGAGGAAAAGCAATTGGAGAACCTTTTGATCAACGCAAAGATCGAAGCTGAGGACTTCTCGACCAGTGACAACTATTCCGACGCCCCCTCCACACCATGCACACCATCCATGAGCTCCGATGTCACACAGATGTCACCCGAGGGAAAGGTACGCTCTCTGGGCAGCAGCAGTGGAGGAATCTCAGGGAACGGAGGCTCGTTGAAGAAGGGGCGTGTGTTTTGCAATGCTTGCGAGAAGACATTCTATGATAAAGGCACGCTGAAGATCCACTACAACGCAGTGCACTTAAAGATTAAGCACAAGTGTACCATCGAGGGCTGCAACATGGTCTTCAGCTCTTTGCGTAGTCGCAATCGCCACAGTGCCAACCCAAACCCCAGGCTACACATGCCCATGAACCGAAACAACCGGGACAAAGATCTACGGGGCAACTCATCTGCTGATGAGAGCTCTCAAGGAGAGAAAAAGCCTGAACCAAGCAATCCCATCTCCGCGTGTTCTGCAGACAGCCATAAGTCAGTGCCAAGTTACATGGTGAGCCATGCAGACAATGGCCCGAAACTCCACAGCAGCTCATTTTCTACCATTGGCCAGAGCGGTATTCTATTCTCTAACTTAAAAACAGTACAGCCGGTCTTGCCTTTCTACAGAAGCATGGTGACGCCAGAGGAACTCGCCAACACTCCAGGAACACTACCTTCCCTTCCTCTTTTGTCGTCTTCTGTACCTGTCAAGCCCATCACAGGACTTGAACCCTGTATGACTGATCCCATACCAAAGAAAAAATCTCGTAAGTCGAGTATGCCAATAAAAATAGAGAAGGAGATTGTTCCACACGATGAGCAGATGGATAATGGAGGCAGCTCTGAGGACGACGTTTCTTTACAGGGCAGGGATAAACAGAAGTGCAGTGGTAGCCAAGCAGAGGAGCTTACGTGTACAAAACAGTCCGACGAGCTGAAGGAGGCAAGAACAGCCTATACTGGTGAAGACAATGAATGGAGTGGGACCAAACGTTTGATGGACCAGATGTTAGACAAAGACGTGATCAAGAGGGAAAGCAAAGACGATGACTCAAGGCAACATGAAACCGGAGTAATAACCTACTCAACATCCCCAAATGAAAGCAGGCCAACTGAATATCACTACGACAACTTTCCTTGCCTGGAATCCAATGGAAGTGCGGAGAGGATAAACAGAGAAAATACAAAATCCCTGTCTACTCATGATCCGATTTTAAATCTCATATCGGACGAAGGCGACCACAGGCTAAATAATGGGGCTGGTCTCCATCTCACAGATAGGAGAGGACTTGATATATGTGCAGATGACAATGATTTTGAGCTGCTTCAGCTTGATACCGACGCTGACCTGCCACAGCACTGTGACCTATGCAGTAAGACCTTTAAAAACCCATACTGCATCAAGCTGCATTACCAAAACACCCATTTGAAGGAGATGCACATGTGTACAGTGGATGGCTGCAATGCTGCTTTTCCCTCCCGGAGGAGCCGAGACAGGTGCCAGATTTTATACCTTTTGATCAAAGATATGTTTGAAATCTTCCCACACGTTGACAGAGTTCTGCAGACATCAGTCAGGATCTTAGTCAACAGTGCACAGAAACAATGATGAATGACTTTTTGTGTTTTAAAGTATAAACCATAATTCAAATTAAAGTTGATACTTTGTGTAGAATAGAAAGTAAAACAGAAAGCAGTTATTTGCAAATCAATTTCAACATTGCAAATCCATTTCAACACTACATAGATTACAAATGCGATAATCAATGTTCAAACCCATCAAAATATTAATTGTTTGCTGGTTTTCTATTCTTCTGAAATTTGGTGTTTATGCATCTGACACTAACTTTGAAGGATTGTAGATGGAATTTCTTTACCATTTTTGTTTGAAATATAACTCATTTTGTGTCACATTTTGTGCTTTTTAATGTGACGAACTAGGGGACAGGTCTGGACTTTAAGCAGGCCAGTCCTGCCCCTACTCTGAAAGCCATTCGGCAAAAAAACAACACATGGATGAAGCACGTGCAGAGGGCAGTTCGGCATTGCATTGCTGAATAAGCTGTTTCTTGGATGGCAGCTTATGTTACTCCAAAGTCTGTACTTTTGAATATTAGTGGAGCCCTCTCAGATGACCCATGGGCAACCACAGATCCAGGCTTTGTGCAGAATGACAATCCATGAAATGCGGACTCTTCAGCACACTGTTCCACTTTGTTTCAGTCCATCTCAGCTATACTCGGAGTTACCAGCAGCGTTTCTTAGTGTTGTTTTTGTCCGTCTTCTCTTTGGGCTTCAGGGTTTTAACTTCAAGATGATCTGCATTGACTGACAATGTTTTTTGCTGCAGTGCTCCTGACACCACATGGTAAAAGAAGGATGTCTCTTTTTAATGCACCACTTTGTGAGACGTCAGAGGTTGTGGGCAGTCATTTACCCGACTTCTCTGTATCTTTGTGGATGATTAAATATCTCATTTTCATGCAGTTTTACATTTTCGAAACAGTTTTTGCTGGCAATAGTTCATGAATTTGTCAATTTTGAACCAGCCTTGGCTGTGAACAACTATGAATTTTGGGGATGCTTATTTTATGCCCATTTCCAATTAATTTGTTCAGTAGAAAATTGTTCTAGTTAGGTATTTTTTAACATTCCTCAAGTTTCCACTTGTTTTGTTGCCCCCAGACAAGATGCGCAAACACCGTTAAAGCTTATTAGTTTGTACATTTACTTTGTTTTTGTGGTGTATTTGCTTAGAAATTAAATGAAAAGGATTTGCAAACCACTGTATTCTGTTTAAATTTTTCAGTTCATACTTTTGTTTTACAAAAAATCCAAACTTAATGATACTTTGGGTTTGCATTATGGCTGCACAGTGTAATTTTTATGTTTTTATAATCTACAGGCACAGCGCAAATTTGAACCTGCACCACAAGCTGCTGACCAAAGACTCACTACGCCCACCCAATAGCCTATACTCACCCCCACCACACTGCAGAGACAAAGACTCAGTGGGCCTAGGTTACTGCCAAGACCAGTGGGATGGTGATTTGCCTCATCAAGATCCAACCAGTCAGAAATCCGTCATCATCCGACGGTTCAACCGCATGGGTCTGGTGTTCCCCATGAACAAAATTCCCTCTGCGCAGGACAGCACCGAGGCGTCTCCCTCGGAAGAAATCGAAGGATTAGAAGAAGGGAAAGCTGGAAATAGGGATGAGGGGGCCATCCTGGACCTGAGCACCTCTACCCCTGCCCAGGCCAGAAACAGCAGCGTGCAATCTTCCTGGGACTCGGATGGCGTGGGCAGTGAGGAAGGGGAGGTGGCCGAGGAGGAAGGGGAGGCCCACCCCATGGACGACAGCGACGAGAGCTGCGACGGCCTCGGCGTCGGGAGGCGTGAGAGTGAAGACCTGGCACTGGAGGGAGAGAAGAACCTGGCCTGTTGTGGCGGGGGGCAGAACGACCTCCCGGGAGGCGTGGGTGGATCTTCGATAACCTGCCATATCTGTCAAAAGGTGTACAGCAACAAGGGGACGTTCCGAGCCCATTACAAGACTGTGCATCTGCGGCTGCTTCACAAATGTAAAGTCCCCGGCTGCGACACGTCTTTCTCCTCTGTACGAAGCAGGAACAGGCACAGCCAGAACCCGAACCTCCACAGGAACCTGTGCGCTAAGGCAGGTACCACTGTGGACCAGGGATAAGACCCACAGGCCAACAAATTTTTCCTCGTAGATCCGGGGCACAATGAGATGGCAAACTGATCAGCACTTTTCTAAACAATCAGTTCTCTCAATTTGAACATTTAGATAAACAAGAACAAAACAAAAGCAAAAACAATAAGGATGTCATTGGTTGGTTCTGCTGTTCGGAATCCATTTATGTGAAACAGTTTGTCCATTAACTGATACATGCTGTTGTACAACGGTCCAGATTTTTTCCTTTACTTTGGTTAAATCTACAACATTTCATATGTATAAACTCATTTTTTTCTGTTGTTGTCCAAGTGACAGTTGTACCATCAAACTGTATTATGCAAGTGATGTTTTTGTTGTCAGATGTCTGAATCTTCTCAGTGAAGCTGTCTAGAATGAATTTTTCAAAAGCAATTGTGAAGTAGAAATGTGCCATTTCAAGATTTGACTTTTTAAAAAAATGTTGTCTCGTGAACTTGACCAGTAAGTTATTGTATGGCGTCGTAAGATCCGTCTTTATTGTTCTGTTTGTTTCATACTGCTAATGTTGACCAAAGATTTTTCCCCAGTTCATAGGTGTGAATAAAGATCCTCTTGTGATGGGTACACAGTATTAACGGGTTATCAACACTCTGCTTATCTATTTGTGATCAACAGCAGTATTAAGATGTGGACTTAGTTGTAAAACAATGAAATTAAGAATGAATCTATTTTTTAAAACAAGCTAATTTGGTGTTATATTTGTTTTAGCTCATAGGACTGTACTTGATTCGGGCAGTGACCGCTCTTTTATTGTGTGTGTTGGACTGACCTGACTGACTGGAAAACTAGCATTAGGATGCTGTATCTGAAGGCTAGAAAGCATGCGATGTGAATGAGTCAAACACTGATAATCATGAAAAAAATGTATTTGAAAAAGGGTCCCACACGTGTACCCCTCAAAAACAGGTAAACAAAATGTTTATAGAGCTGTATATTCTGTGAATAGGGCTACTTGTTATCTTGAAGAAACCTATAAACACACACAAAAATTATATATGTATATATTTGTATATGTATACATACATTGCATTTGTTTTATTGTTTGTTTTTTCTTTTCTTTTTAAAATAAATGATAGCAACACTGTGTTATACATTTGTGATCATTTCTTTCTTTCTATTGAAGTACATCTTTAAAATTTGTTTGCTTGAATTCCACAAAAAAACAATTAGAATACACGAATTATAGCAAACACCATAGATATTCATGTTTCTTTGGAATTACATGACCATACCAATTTTAAATAATATCAATATAATATAATATCTAATGGCATACATGGCATACATCTCTCTCTCTCTCTCTCTCTCTCTCTCTCTCTCTCTCTATATATATATATATATATATATATATATATATATATATATATATAT